CTTTCCCTGCCTTCATTTCCAGCTTTTTCAATCTCTAGTGTTGATCTCTGGCATCAACGTCTTGGACACCCCTCTAGCTACAAAGTGCAAGCATCAAGCACCTCTTCATCTCTGTCTTTTGTTCCTTCAACATCTGTTAATACAGATTGCAGTATATGTCCTTTAGCTAAGCAAAGACGATCTTGTTTTCCTGTTGGTCGACATTTGTCTCTAAAACCTTTTGACTTATTACATATTGATACTTGGGGGCCCTTTCATACACCCACCGTTGATGGTCATCGTTATTTTTTAACCATTGTTGATGACTGTTCTCGCACAACTTGGTTATATCTCCTCTGTTCCAAAAGTGATGTTTTAACAGCATTTCCAGATTTTCTAAGTCATGTCGAAACACAATATGATGTTAAAGTTAAAGGCATTCGATCCGACAATGCACCTGAACTTTCTTTCAAATCTTTACTCTCCAAAAAGGGCATTACTCATTACTTTTCTTGTCCTTACACACCGGAACAAAATTCGGTTGTGGAAAGGAAACACCAACATATTCTTAATGTTTCTCGAGCCCTTCTTTTTCAATCGAATATACCATTATCTTATTGGGGTGAGTGTGTTAAAACCGCTGTTTACATTATCAACCGACTACCAAGTCCGGTTCTTAATCATAAGACACCATTCGAGATCCTTACAAACACTAAACCCACTTACAAACACATGAGAACCTTTGGTTGTTTATGTTTTGCCTCCACTCTTATCAAAGACCGTCATAAATTCTCTCCACGGGCATCTCCTTCCATTTTTATTGGTTACCCCCCAGGTATCAAGGGTTACAAAGTCCTAAATTTAGAGACAAATGTTATTACAGTGTCTAGGAATGTTACATTCCATGAACACAAGTTTCCCTTCAAAAAATCTCCTCTGTCTCCCAATACTTTGGAGTTTTTCCCACCTCAACCATCTCCTTATCATTTCTTCGATACTCCTTCTTCTCCATCTGTTGGTCCATCAACAGCTACTTCAGGTTCTCTTCCTTCTCCTCCTGAAGTTTCACCCCAGACACCCATTTCTGATTTTCCTTTAGAGTCTTCCATTACAGTTCCTTCAACTGAATCCTCTCTTTCCTCTCCCTCTTCTGAGTCCACAGTTTCAAAATCTCCCAAGTCATCTTCCTTTTTTACTCCTCCAACTTTACAGATAGTTGAATATGATGAGAACACTCGCAAATCTCAGCGAACAAGAAACCCTCCTGCCTATCTTTCAGATTATCATTGCTACCTTATCCGACATGACAGCCCCCACCTGATTCATCCCAGACCTTATACCCTTTATCACAATACTTAACATACTCAAACCTCACTTCATCTTACAAACCTTTTGCCTTATCTATTCTCACCTCCCTTGAACCAAAGTCTTATACCCAAGCTTCCAAGTCTGAAATTTGGAGAAGTGCCATGAAGAGTGAGCTTGAGGCACTGTGTCGTACCAAGACCTGGGAATTATGTTCTCTTCCTGATGGTAAGACTACAGTGGGTTGCAAATGGGTTTACAAAACCAAGTATCATGCTGATGGATCAGTTGAGCGCCATAAGGCACGGTTAGTAGCAAAGGGGTATACTCAAGTTGAAGGATTAGATTATTTGGATACCTTTAGCCCAGTGGCAAAACTTACTTCTGTTCGAATGGTTCTTGCCTTAGCTGCCTCACAGAAATGGCTTCTTGCTCAGTTGGATGTCTCTAATGCTTTTCTCAATGGAGACCTATGGGAAGAGATCTATATGACTCTTCCCCCTGGATACTCCTTGCTTACGGGGGAGACTGTATCTCCTACTTCGGTCTGTCGTCTTCGGAAGTCAATTTATGGGCTTAAACAAGCCTCTAGACAGTGGAACATCAAGCTTTCACGCACTCTGATTGATGCTGGGTTTCACCAATCTACTGCTGATACATCTGTTTTTCGAAAGAATGTTGGTGCCTCAATTACAGTTGTGTTAGTGTATGTGGATGATCTTTTATTGGCAGGGAATGATGCTGAAATGATTTCTTCTACAAAGGCTTCACTTCAAACTCTTTTTCAGATTAAGGATCTTGGATGTCCAAGATATTTTCTGGGAATTGAAATCTCAAGATCATCCAAAGGCATTCACTTATGTCAGCGGAAATACGCCTTAGAGCTGCTGGAAGAGTATGGATTATTGGGTGCCAAACCTGTTTTAATTCCTTTGGATACTCGTGATAAATTGGCTCGGGATTCTGGTGAACCATTATCTGATGCTTCCTTCTATCGACAATTAGTTGGAAAGCTTATTTATCTCTCTGTCACGAGACCGGATATTTGTTTTTCAGTTCAGAAACTGAGCCAATACATGTCACGCCCCTGCTCTACTCATCTCCATGCTGCCTTCAGAGTTTTAAGGTACCTGAAATCTTCTCCCTCTCAGGGCCTTTTGTACTCAGCAGACTCTTCTCTTACTCTTAAGGCATACTCAGACGCTGATTGGGCATCATGCCCTGATACCCGTCGATCTGTCACTGGCTATTGCATATTTCTCGGAAGCTCCATGATTTCCTGGAAATCGAAGAAACAACCTACAGTTTCTCGCAGCAGTGCTGAATCGGAATATCGTGCCTTAGCTCAGACATCCTGTGAGATTATTTGGCTCGCTAATCTGCTTAAAGACCTGTCCATTCCCTGTTCTCAGCCTTATAATATTTACTGTGATAACCAATCGGCTATCCATCTTGCCAGCAATCCCATTCTGCATGAAAGGACGAAACATGTTCAACTTGACTGTCACTTTATCAGGGAACACATTGGCACAGGTTTGCTGAAAGTTCTTCATGTTCGATCTCATGATCAAGTGGCTGACATCCTTACCAAGCCATTGGCTTCAGATCAATTCCGGTACCTCCTCTTCAAGATGGGAATACAAAACTTGTATTCTCCATCTTGCGGGGGAGTTTTACCCGACAACCTCTTTACAGGTTCTTGATGATTCTGACAATTCTGTTGTGGCTAGGTGCATCGACATGTTTTCTGCACAGGAAAATTCCGTTGGTGCAAGGGCAACTCCTCAGGCTACTCTACAACACCTTTTTAGATGTATAGAAGGATCATTGTACAAATATTAATTTTTATTCCTTTATTTGAGTTGTATATATACAGGATGTAAGAAACACTTTACATGAGAGAGAAATATACAACAAGGAAAAACTTCTTCTTCTTCGAGAGCTTTTCCATCGCTTTTCCAAGTTCCTCTTTTTTCCAGCAATACCAAAAATCATATCATGAAGTTGATATAAGGAGTAGTGGTGAAGGTCATGAGTGTTGCGAGGTTTCACCTAATGTGATGAGATTTGGTTAGATCATAATTTTCTCGTGTTTGTGTTTTCACTTCGTGTAGATATAGTAGAATATTATCATAATATTATATTTGATTTTATCTTTATATTATTTAGATAAGATATTTTGTAATTCTATTTTCTATAAATATTGTAATGTTTTGAACCGATTATACTGCAAAACGAAGTAAAATGATCAAAGATGTAACAGAAAATTCCGGGTATTCAAGTATACATACTAAGAGGGAATACATGAAGAAGAAGCATCAGAGTGAAGCAAATTTATCAAAAGATCAATTTGATCAATCAGACAAGGAGATAATTTACTCTGTGCTCAAACAAAAGTCGCCCTGAAAGGTTCGGTATCAGTAGCAAATGGATGTCGGAAAGCAGATGAAGAACTAGGAAATCCCCTTCTCGCCTTTCAGATTGATGACAGAGAGCTCTTGTTCGACAAACTCTCCGGCAGGTATCGACGGGTAGTTGCTAGCGAGCGGGGATTCGGCGAAATGGCCCAAAGGTTTCAGCTCAGCATCAGAGGCAATGTGGGCAAACAACTGCAAGTAAGATTGTAATAAGCAAAAACGGGCGTAAACCCTTTTCCGATACGCGGAAACAGTTGAATCTATATAAAATTTAACAGTGAGGAGAGTACTTACTGTTGAGGATACTCTCCATAAGCTTCGGCTTTGTTCTTTGGCTGAATTGATTGCATCTATTGTGTTGCTTGTCACGACGACTTCGTGCATGCCAGCAATGCATTCTCCGCCAGTTAACCATTCTATCTGGATACATGACAAGCATATTTTAGTTCCAAGAACACAGGAACCTTTTAGTTCCAAGAGCAAGGGCTGGTAACCGGGTCGGTTTTAGTGAAGGTGAGAATTAGATCAGTACTGGAGATTTCATAAGATACAACACTAAGATTGTATAATGACATAGAACCATCTCCTTACCTGTTTTCCGGTTTGAATTAGGAGGCATCCTACGGGAACTTTGACTGCCATCTTTTTCCCATTCCTTAACCAAATATATAGCCCAGGAAATCTACTTCTTCCATGAATCGTCAGAAAATTAAGGTCATAGTGATATCCTGCAAATATCGTGCCCTCCTTGTTGTAACGACTAAGATCACTTCCAGTAGGAGCAAGAAGATGGGGCCCCTGAAAACAACAAGGGAAGTTCTTGGGGAGTAAGGATTAAATATCATGCATTGATGGACTTTGCAAAATTTTGTCATGGTCGAAGAACCGGAGACAAGAAAAATGACTTGTACTGAATCAGAATGTGAGTATAGCATTATTGAATTTAAACCTGTTTCATGATTGATGTGAACGCATCCTTTGGCAATCCGAACCCGATTGCTGCCATTTCAGCAACAACCTGAACAGTGGAAGATAAATTAAGACCTGAAAATTCACACAAGAACAAGAATCTTGAGCAACCCTCCATAGCTATAGAGACCCACCTCCACAGCTGATATCATCTTGTAACCCCAAGAGTCCATCGTTTCTTCCCAGTTGGGAAAACCTTTTGGCACAACGGGCTCCGAGTTGAGTTCCTACAAATCAAAATGATAACCAACCGCAACTGATACAACATACAGCAGCAATCAGATGACCAAACGAGATTGAACCTTAAAGCGAGTGTTCGATGGCCTAGGACCGATTCTCCACATGTATCTCCACTTGTGATCTGGTCCCTTGGGAGTGTGAGGTTGGTATTCTTCTGGCATTGCCTTCAACTTTTCTTGCATTTCTTCATCAACCAAGCTTCTTGGGACTTCAACTCCTTCCGGTGTCACCCCAACCTGTTAAGCGCATCACCAACAATATCATTCACTTGCTCTTAGCTAAATACATGATTAAGAAAATCAATGCAAGCTAACATCGACAAAACGGTTCATCAACACCACCAAAGAGGCAACAATTGCATGAATCTATTACTTTCTATGGTGATCCCAACAGAAGTTTTAGGCTAACCATAAAACTCGTAATCAAACATCTACACCTACTAATAACTGGAAAAAATGAAGAACCCAGACGAGCTTTTCCCTTGAAGGCTGCAGTCATACCAAATCTGCTCATGGATCGTCAAAATGACGCTATCTGAGGGTAAATAGGCGTAGTTTTCGTAATGAAAGCACAAATTGCATCAAATTGATTCGTAATTGTAAGAAAATTAGATCTAAATAATTCTGATTTTGCAAAATTATCAACTTTATCGGACAAAGTTTCTCTCCCTGAGTTCAATCACTTCAAACGAACGTAACCCACATAGATCACGAAACTCCCAGAAGATTCAGGAGCGCTAATAGTCGAGACTGCAGATTTTGGGCTCATCACTTGGGTTACAGAGAATCTACGAACCTGATAGTGCAGATTAGGTCTCTCTTGCAGTCTCTTGAAGTCATCGGTCATCTCGAAGTACCTTTCCATCATATCTATGAACCGATCGTTGTCTTCGGCGCTGCATCTCGGATCCTTCACCAGCAAGGCCCCGGTTTCCTTCAGAATCCGACTGACCTCTCGGCACGACTCGAGAATATCGGAACCCAGATGACTCACTGAGTCGCCACCGATTTTACCGGCGATTTCAAGGTACGGGGACAGATCCACCACCGGCAACTCCATCACGATCACCGGGGAAAGAGCGAGAATGAATCTCTTCTTTTTTTTTAATTTTTACGCGAGTCTTTGTTTTCCTCTCTTCTCCTTTTCTTTTTGCCTTTTTTTTTTATTCCTCTTGTTGTGAGATGGCGGGAGATGAAGATTTTGATACGCATACATAATTAAATATAATTAACATTAATGGCACGTCGAATTTTGGTAATACAAAAAAGGTGCTTCCCATATGAAACATTTACAAATATTTCCACTTTTTTTTTTTAAAGGTTGATATTAGTCAAGTTTACGATTACATATATGGATTCTATTGTTTCCGAGTTTGGATATTTTTTCTTTACCTATTTGATTTTTATATCTATCTATTCAATTCGATACAGATTTAGTTCTCATTTTCGGTACGTATTCTTTATATTTTCGCATTAAATCATAAAAGATTACCACAATATTACATTTAATTTTACTTTTTATTTAAAGTATCTGTATTAATTAAATAAGATATTTTTACATGCATTATGAATGTTTTTACATGAGATAATCTGTTCTTGTCACCCCTAAATTCTGCATCAATTAAATAGGAAAAAGAAATCCAACATGGGTCTTATTACACAGCTTTTCCTCTAAGATCGTTACCTATTCGAGACGTCTGGATTGCTGTCGCAGAGCATACGCAAGACTTGTCTCATGTTTGGTCGGAGACGGGGCAGCTTCGTCGTACAGAGGATACCGATCTTAAGAACCCTAACCATGCTCTCTTCCACGCCTTGACAGAACACTTTCTTATCCAATACCACCCTTTGGAGATTTAGCCGATCCTGCTGA